CCTGGTTTATTTATAACTTTTAGATGCCTGCTGCATATCTTATCACAGTCCCCAAGTTCATGGTCATTTCATTGACAAATAACAAACAGCTTTTCTCCTCTGAATGCATCATCCAAGTATTTTTAGTTATCACATGTGCAGGTACTAAATTGTCCTTTCTCACTGTTATGGCTTATAACGGCTATGTTGCAGTTGGCCATTCTTTGCAATAGAAGCTGGTTGTGGAATGGAATGTCTGCTTCAAACTGGCAGGTTATGCTGGACCAGTAGTATAACCCATGCAGAGGTACACATTTTTGCAAGAATAAAGGAAACAATTTTTTCTATGCTATTCCTCAATTATTAATAATTTCTTACACTGACACAACAGCAAACATAACATTTAGCCTGGGTTTATTTTGTTTAGTTCTTTATGGGTTCATCTTATCTTCTGTGTTCAAGATCCTAGGCCAGGTACACAGGTTTTTCCTCCTGCCTTCCACACTTAACAGTGGCCCCGGTCACACGGGCAGGAAACTGCGGGGGAGAAGCGTGGCTGTTTGCCCTGGGGCAAACTACTGCGCAGTTAAGTGATCAGACCTCCCGTGGAGGTCCTGTGGAGGTACCGTGGAGGTTCCATAGCAAGGGAGAGGTGCTGATCACAGGACAAGCCGGCGCACAATGAAGAAGTGCACGCCGCGGCAACCTGTTTTGTTTTTGTGTGTACATGACAAATGTGCATGCTCCGTTGGGTGCGTGTGCGCATCCACAGAGACTTGGACAAAAAACCCCACCTTATTTGCAAGGGGACATGGGCGGGCGCCGGATGCCACCGGAAACGCGATCAGATGCCCGCCCTTGCCCCGCAGTTTCTGGAAACTAGTACCTCCGAGGTTCTAGTTTTTTGCCACGCAGTTTCGGCTGGAAGCCTTGGTTGAGCCACGGGAGTGCTACGCTTCTTAGATGTGCTGGTGAGATCGCGCCCGGAAACTCCGCCTGTTTTCCGTCTCACTTGTGTGGCTTCTGTTCCATGTGACCGCAGCCAGTGTATAGCTTGCTTCTTTCTACCGTCGTATTTTCTCATGTCGGAGCAAAGTCTACATCCTCTCCATTGCTGGACCTGCTGGCTATTCTTCTGTATACCATTTGGCCATCATGCATGAATACTGACATTTATAGCCTGGGATAAAGGAAATTCCAGTGAATATGTAAAAAATGTAAAAGGTGCAGTTTGAATTTCACTTAGGGAGATTTCTTACGAGAGCTGCCTCGCAGCACAGCGCCGTTTGCCTTGACACAAATGTGTCAATTTCACACCCGAAGCTCCGGGGCTGCATTTGACTCGGGGCTTCGCCCAATTTCCTCCGCAGTTTCATGATCCTCAAAAACCAGGATCACGAAACTGCGGAGGAAATCGGGCGAAGCCCCGAGTCAAAATGCAGCCCCGGAGCTTCGGGTGTGAAATTGACACATTTGTGTCGAGGCAAATGGCGCTGTGCTGTGAGGCAGCTCTCGTGAGAAATCACCCTTAGTGATCTCATATACATTCCATTGAACAGAACCCAACTAATGCCAATATGATTAGTCCATGATGAGGTTTAGTGATGAAATATTTCTATGTTGTACAATGGCATCTACTTGTACTATGTCATTGCTTTTTATTGTATCATTCTCTATTTACTTTAATGATGACCATAGCCACCTTTGTATAAACCAGGGTTGAGTTTTCCATAGATTAGTGGGGTATAAATCCAACCTCTTCTTCTTCTCATTATGAAACAATAAAAAAGGTAAAGGTTTACCTTGCTCGGAAGCCAGTGGAATCTGACACTAGGTTGTGGTGCTTATCTCCGTTTCCAAGCTGAAGAGCCAGCACTGTCTGAAGATGTTTCTGTGGCCATGTGGCTGGCGGTGACTAAATGCCAAGGGGCACAGAATGCTGTTACCTTCCCACCATAGCGGAACTTGCAATTTCTTACTTTCGAACTGCTAGGTTGTCAGGAGTCTAAACTTGGACCAGCTTGGACAGACATCTAATTTCCATTTTTCTGTGTAGATAATTCTAATATGTATTGTAATTTCTTGGGCTGTGATGTAACAAAAAATGACATGGAGGGCAATGCTCTCTCTAAGTTGTGGAGTCTTGTGAGCAATTGGCATTAAAGTTGTGAGCTATTGGCATTAAAGTTGTGAGTGAGTGATTTGGCTACTGCATAAATTAGTTTGCTCTGGAGCAATCCTTCTTGACTTAAGACAAAAATATGTGAGCCAGAGGCTAAAAAACTGAGAGCTAGCCCACACTAAGTCATCTCATAGGGAACACTGGTAGAGGGGTTTTGATTTTGCCTTCCCTACCACCTCTCAGTGAAAACCTAATCCAGAGACATATTTTTAAAAGGGTAAGTACATTTATTAGAATGATATGCAGAATTTGGGTACAATCCAGTCAGCTTTTCCATTGCAGCTCCAGTTCTTATGTGGGATGGAGAGGTTTGGCCAGACAGCTATAACTCCGTGTGAAATGACCACTCATGCAACAGATTTTTGGGAAATGTGGATAAAAATTGACCACGTATTTATTGATTACAGCTGTAAGAAGCATTGGTACAGCATGGGTCCACTGGATCCCATTCATCAGCTGACCCTGTGCCAGCCAATGTACCCATCACTCAGCCAGCAAGCATGGGTGGAGATTGCAGAGTGGCAGGTTACTGGGGATCATTTGGATGACTGCCCCTTCGTGATCTCCCCTGCCAACTGGCAGTGAGGGCAAGCACTGTTAGTCCTTGAGTTGGCTTGCTCCCATTGGCCCTCACACCAAGACCCCTTAAGGTGGTCCCCAACTTCAATATATGGCATGCAGGCTAATTTCCATAAATGGATCCAGCCTGTGCTGTTACCACCCAAAGAGTTATGACAAAAGAAGGCATGTACAAATTGAACTATAATGCTAAACTAACAATATAAACTATCTGTCCATGACACTGTTTGTCCCTCTTCAATAAATTAGTATATACAGTATTGATCCTGGTCGGCATATCTAACAGGGAAAGGATGGGTGGGCAAGCAACTCGCATGCCGTTGAAGGTTGAGGTGGCACAGGTGAGCAGCTGGCTTTGCCCTTCCTCCCTTCTTCACCAGCAGAAAAAGATGGATGGGTCCCATCCTTTAATTATTGAAAGATGAAGGGTTCCACCCCTGCTGGTTCAGATCACCCACCCAGTAGCGACTTAGTCATCTGGGGAGGGGGAGTGGTAAATACATTTATGTGAAAGAGTTGCAGAATTTGGATGAGATCTAACTAGTATGAAAACATTTGTTTTGTCCAGCATTCGATTTCTGAAAAAAGTCAACCAGATTCCTTTTGGAAGGCTTAAAATCAGGCCTAAACAATACAGAACAACAGCATTCCCAATTGAATGTCCCCAGAACATGGTCTCTAGTGCTGTAGTACCTTTAAACATGTTGAGTTTAGCTAGTAACTGTCTTCATTTATTAAGCTTACTACTAATAACTATTGATAGACCTGTACTCCATGTTTTGTCTTTCAAACATGATTTTTAAACATCTAATCGAGTTGCCCATCACAGCATCCTTTGGAGTGAATTTTGCAAATTAACTAATTCTGTGAAATAAACATGTCTCCATTTATCTATAATGAATTTACCTGTTACCAGTTTATACTTCATTCTAGTACTATGAAAAAGGAAGACAAATACCTCTGTATTCATTCAGCTGGATGCTACCAGCTCTCCCATTCAGTTTTTCCAGATTTCTGTCCTCACTGCTGCAAGTGTCCCATTTGATCTTTCTCTTCACAAGTTCTGTGATCCTCGTCAAAATGGTAACCTCCCTATTCCTGTGTGCAAAAAGCTATCAGGACACAACCCACTGTTCCATGCTATTCATTATTTTATAAACCTCAACCATATTCCAATTCTTAATTCATTGTTTATTTTTCCTAAATCATGGAGCTATCCATTATGACCCCTTGATCTTTCCATGGGTTGTAAAATAATAAAGAAACCATCAGTCTATATATAGATGATATTTTGTTTTAGTGTCCAGCTATGTGCCCCAAGTAGGCCCATTTGAGTATAAATTTGGTCAGTTATGAATGTTTTGTTTCTGCAATTCACTGTTCCATGAAACATGCTACAATTTTGTTTTCACCAGCTGAGGTTTGGTTTTTTTTACAGATGCTTTGTTTATCCCTTATGTTCTTGCTATGACCTGTGATGCACCTTGATTTGTTAGCACCTTGAGATGTCTGTGCAGAGTAAAAAATATTTCATAAATAAATGAGCTATGGCTAGGATATGAAGAATTGTAGAATTAATTCTGGGGGGGTTGGTTTTATTTTTTAAATTGTAAACTGTTTATTGAACAATGAAACAGAATACGATGCAGTAATTATAAAATGATAATTAAGTGTGTGGTGAATCAATGATTGACCATTACAAGTTATCTGCCAATTTTGGCTTTCATTCAAATAATTAAAATTAAAAATAAATGGAGTTCAAGCCAGTTCTAAAGATCCTTCAGCTACTTAATGATAGATATAAGGTGTGTGAACCAATTAAAGGTGCTTTCTGTAAAGTTCCTTCTGGGTCAGTAAAAGCATCTAGCCATAATGACCATTTGGCCATAATACTAGTAGAGGTAACCTGTCTATCTGGATTGCTGTGCCTTTTGGTAGAACTGATATATCAAGGGGAGATTCTGTAATTTCCAATTTGAATCAAGTACATGTTTTGCTTCTGTCAAAAAGGTGGAAATGAGGTTGTTAGTATTTCGAGGAATCCTGACTCTCAGCCAGAATTAATTCTGCATTGTACAGAGGAATTTGGATTGGTGATTTCAAACTGAAAATTTCCAAAAAGTAAAGCAAACTGGTTTTTTTGTTTATTTTTTGCTTTAAACAGAAGGGACTTTTTGCAAACATTGTGTTAAACAGCATAAAAAGAAGATTCTGCTGAACTTGTCTAAGGGCTTGAACTCACCATGGTAGAACTTCATAACTACATTTTTGTGAACAGCTGATCAATCTGTCTCCTCAGTGCCTTCTTGACTTCTTTGTTCCTCAGGCTGTAGACAAGTGGATTTATCATAGGAGTCAAGACCGCATAAAAAACAGATAAGACTTTATTGAAGTCTCTCAGTGTGTCAGTATTGGGCAAAATGTAGACAATAGTTATTGTACCATAAAAAATGGTAACAACAATAAGGTGAGAAGAGCAGGTTGAAAAAGCCTTTTGCCTGCCACTGGTGGATGGTATTCTCATTATGGTGGTTATAATACAAATATATGATATTAGGGTCAACAAAAATGGAGGAAGGGTAAAAACAGAGGCAACAAGGTAAATGAGGATTCTCAAAAGATGGGTATCACTGCAAGACAAATCTATGAGAGGAAAAACATCACAGAAGAAATGATTGATTTCATTGGGGCCACAAAAAGATAATCTGGACACTAATATGATGGTTATTGAAATACCTAGAAACCCACTGAGGAAAGAGCTGCCAACCAACTGTATACAGAATTTCCCATTCATACGGTTTGTGTAATGCAAGGGCCAGCATATTGCTAAGTACCGGTCATAAGACATCACAGATAAAAGATAGCACTCAGCTGCCCCCAGAGATGCAAAAAAGTAATGCTGTACAAAGCAGAGGTTGAATGAAATGGTTTTGTCCCCAGTCAGAAGACTGACCAGAGTTTTGGGCAGGATGGTCGTACTATAGAAGGTTTCCAGGCAGGAAAAATTCCCAAGGAAGAAGTACATTGGAATATGAAGATGCTTATCAGCTACAACAAGTATAACCATGAGGATGTTCCCAGCCAAGGTCATCATGTAGATAAACAGGAAGCATAAGAAGAGAAGAGCTTGAAGTTCTTGAAGATTTCTGAACCCTATAAGGATGAACTCTGTAATATTTGTTTGCTTTTCTGTATCTGTGGTGTTTTGGAGAGGCATCTGTAAGGAAAATATATATATATATTTAGACCAGGGAGAATGATGAGAATGCCAAATGTGCAGTTACAAACAGAATGTTTTTTGTCTTAAACAGAAGTCAAACCCATTTCAGTTCTTTGGTAGATCAAACCAGCTTAGGACATTTAGTAGTCCTCCTGGTTCATTGTACACCAGCAGGCACAATTGTGCTGCCAAAAAAGCTAGCAGATGCCATACTGAGAAGTTCAGACTTACAGCACTGTGGTCAACAGGCTTCCTTAAATACTTGAGACCCATAAAATTCAGTAATACTTAAGTGTGTCTTACATGCTCTGAATTATGCCCCAAATCTGCAAATCTACCACAACCTCACATTTGCTTTTCAGTTCTATGAATAAATCATTACCCAAAGCATTGCCTCCACTCTTTCAGCATTTTCATTACATTTTCATACTTCCTTTTCTCCAAGGAATTTAAGTTGCAATGTGAAGCACACTTATGAGGAAGCTCAATGGGACTTGCTTTTGAGTACACATGCTTAAAAAGGTAAAGGTAAAGGTAAAGGTTCCCTTGCTCGAAAGCCAGTCGAATCCGACTCTAGGGTTGCGGTGCTCATCTCCGTTTCCAAGCCGAAGAGCCAGCGCTGTCCAAAGGCGTTTCCGTGGTCATGTGGCCGGCATGACTAAACACCAAGGTGCATGGAACGCTGTTACCTTCCCACCAAAGTGGTACCTATTTATCTACTTGCAATTTCTTGCTTTCAAACTGCTAGGTTGGCAGGAGCTGGAACTAGAGACAGGAGCTCACCCCGTCTTGCGGCACCCAGGTCTTGAACTGCTGAACTACTGACCTTCCACAGCCTGCAGTTCAGCGTCTTAACCACTTGAGCCACCGCAGCTCCTACACATGCTTAGAATGATACTATTGCCTTCTTCTTTCATTTCATCCTCTCAACAACCTTGTGAGTTAGACTGAGGGAAGGAGTTGCTAGAACAGGGTAATACACAGTACAATCATATGCAAAATTACATCTTTCTAAGCCTAGTGATTTCATTGAATCAAGAGAGTTGGACCTCTGCTTAGTGCTACAGTCTGTGAGCTTTGCAGGATCCTCAAAGATATACTTGCTATCACTAACCCAAACTTGTTTTCACAAACATTATTCTATAGAACAACATGTTAGCTATGGAAATCAATATTAAACATTAAAATATTTATGTATTTAGGCCCAAACTGGAATATAATATCACAGGCACCTCCAGTTATTCAGAGTGAGCCTCTTCTTGGAGAAAGATTGACCCAAAATGTCTTGAACAAATGTACATATCTCCAGATAACAGGGTCTACTTTCCCATTATGCATTCTCTTACCTTCTATTATGGTTGTGCCTCAGATTCTTACAGAAGGAAGACCTATAGCTGATCATGACAGATGGGAAGGAAGATGTTGGAGAGCTACTGCCAACCATTCAATGAATAACATGAATTACAAATATTATCTATAAATTGAACTGAACATGTTCATTGATTGGTTTTCAACCTTTTTATTGGGTCAGATTGAGCCAGCTTTTTCACTCAGACCTGCCCAGTTTCCACTCTTATTATATCTCCCACCCCACATGGCTTTTATCTGAGTAGGTCCCATAAACTTCAGCATAGCCTTTTTCACCAGTGGAGAAGCTGATTGGATCCAACCTATTGGCTCTTGCCCTCTTGCATGTTGATTTGTGGATGGAGAAGAACTAAGGAAAAGATTTATCAGGAGCTATTATATTCAGTGGTCCCAGTGTCTCAGTAGAAACAAAGAGAAAGGAAATTAAACATTACTCTGGGGACCCTACTAGACTTCAAAAGAACTCTAATCCCAGCAGAAAATATGAGGCTGCAGAGGTAGATTTTTTTTAAGTATCAGAGTATTAGAGCCATGATTAATTGGTTTCCCTCAGAAAGACAGTTAAATATTTAGCATTTTTATGACTGCCAAACAGTTCTTTAGTGGGTTAATTAAATGACCAATGGGAAGACATTTGTATATGAACTTAAACTCAAAACAAATGATCTTTAGAACAATCAAAGTGCTGCAAAACTACCCCCCCAAAGCTACCACCCATTGTTAGATTTTTAAAAAAATACTATTATTTAGGGCAGATCCAGCTGACCTTTTATTGGAGAAATTCTAAGCAGGTCTACTCAAAAGTAAGTCTCATTTTATTTCATGGGGAATAAACACAAGTTTAGATTTGCAGCCTGTGTGTGTCACTGGGCATGCTCATCTGTCCCCTGAACATAGTTCTCTACATGTGGTAGGACGGTTAACAGGGCACGAGAGACTTGCCAAGGGGCTGCACAGAACAAACAAAATACCTCCTTTTAATAAGATTAATAATTTGCAGTCTCACTGATTAAAATTAGCCATCCCCAATTACTGAACCAGTGGCTGAACTGCCACTGAAATTGGTTAACAACTGCGGCTGTATTTCCCATCATCTTCAAAGAGACAAAACTTATTTATTACTTGAAATAATGTTAAACACAAATAAGCTAAAATACATCAATCTCTGAAAGGGTTTGATTGAGGTATGTGTAAAACTAGGAAATCACTTAGCACATAAGCAGTAAGCAAGTACAAGAGAAAGATCAAAAAAAGGGTACCAGTACTAGATGAGAAATGGGGGAGGGGGGAGGCATGTGGAACTCCAGTTCAGCATGGGACTCTGCCCACCTGGTATGTTATTAAAACAGGTTGTGCCTAGAGCAAACCTAGATGACTTTTTGAGTGGTGCTTCATTTCTCTTCCTGGTTTCCTTCCCCCCCACCCCCAGAGGAAAGTGGTTGGGAATTCACGCCATGAACCTGAAAATCTTTTCTTTGTCTTTGCCCAGAGGCAAGCTACTCCTGAATTACCTTGTATGTGGAGAGAGGAGAAAGCAGTTATTCCATGGTGAGAGAAACACACTCTGTGGATGCCCTGGGGCATTTTTCTTCCAAGGCTCAGCCCTGGCGAGGCCTTGGTGCAAATTAAACAATTAATTTTTTTTAAAAAAACAAAATGGATAAAAGTGTTAGTCTGTCATGTCACATCTAGGGAAAACCCAAGCACCTCTCTAAGAATTGCCAGAAACTCGATGGAAAATAACCCATTGCATTTCAAGCATTTCCTAGAGAAGTCTGACAATATTTCTCAGCTTTCCCAGACCAAAGGGATTGCGGTTCCAGGTTGTATTCGGGATGGGGAGGCTTGGTTAGCCTTACACTTCCCCGTTCAAAATGACCACTCACACACAGTTTCTTTGGAAATTAGGTGGATAAAACTGGCCACAACTTTATTGATTACAGCTGTTATAGGCATTGGCACAGCATGGGTCCTCCGGATCTGACCCATCGGCTGACCCTTCTGCCAGCCGAGGTATCCATTAACCAGCCAGCCGGCATGGGTAGAAGCTGCAGGATGGCAGGTTGTTGGGGTTTACCTGGATGCCTGCCCCTGTGTGAACTCCCCTGCCACCTGGTGGTGAGGGCCATCACTGCTAGTCTCTGTGCTTGCCTGTTCCTTTCAGCCCTCATGCCATGACCCTTACAGGGGTCCCCATATCCGGAAAATGGCACGCAGGCCCATTTCCACCAAAGGGATCCGGCCCCATGCTGTCACCGCCAAGAGTTGTGACAAAATGTGTACCCTAGAACTAAGTATCGAAACTAACAACACACAACCAAAGCTGACCTGCAACCCTTTTGTACAATAACCCCCTCTGCTGTGTCCTTCCCCTTACACCAGCCCAAAACAGGGAGGGATGGGCGGGCAAGCAGCTCCCTTCGCGGCCAGAATGGGGTGAGGGCGGCGAGTGGCCCGGGTCACATAGACCCCAGGCCTCTCCCTCCAGACACCCTGCTGTCCATCGATTGGCCCAGGGAGGGTGGGGAGGTGCCTATTTTCCCACCACATGCCTGGTGCCACCCTCCCTGAGCCGGTGACTGGTCGGCCTCCTCCTTCCCCACCAAAATGGTGGGCCTCGCCTACCTGGGCCCTTTTTGCTTGTGGTTCCCGGTCGTATTCGGGATGGGGAGGCTTGGCCAGCCTTACACTGCCCCGTTCAAAATGACCACTCACACACAGTTTCTTTGGAAATTAGGTGGATAAAACTGGCCACAACTTTATTGATTACAGCTGTTATAGGCATTGGCACAGCATGGGTCCACCGGATCCGACCCGTCGGCTGACCCTTCTGCCAGCCGAGGTATCTGTTACCCAGCCAGCCTGCATGGGTAGAGCCTGCAGGATGGCAGGTTGTTGGGGTTCATCTGGACACCTGCCCCTGTGTGAACTCCCCTGCCACCTGGCGGTGAGGGCCATTGCTGTTAGTCTCTGCGCTTGCCTGTTCCTTTCAGCCCTCACGCTGAGACCCTTACAGGGGTCCCCACATCCGGAAAATGGCATGCAGGCCGATTTCCACCAAACGGATCCAGCCCCATGCTGTCACTGCCATGAGAGCTGGAACAACCGCTTGGTCCTGCTCCCGCCAATGCCTGTACAGCTGTAGCCAAGAGAGGAGGGAATAATGTATCCCCTGTAGCCATATGTCCAAACCCCATGCTGACAGGTGCACCCCATCTGCCTGGAACAAGGCCTCCAGATTGTGGGAGATGTCCGGGTGGCAGATCCACAATCAATCATCCTACCCAGTCTGCCAGACACCTTTCTCCTTGCCATGTCCACTTTTCCGGGATGAGCCGCTCCTCGCCATGACCTCCGTTCAAGCCAATTCGACCAAAAGAAGACTGTGTTGGGAGACGCCTCACGCAAAATGGCCAGGTCAGCCAGCACATGGAACTCCAGACACACATTGGGTCATTCAGTCAAATCATTCTCCCCCAGTTGGAGCACCAATGCATCAGGAGATTGGTGTCGGGCCCTGACACGGTCCACCCAGGGCAGAAACAATCTCCACCGCATACCACGCTGGGCCATCCAAGTGATACTCATGGCTGCCTCCAGCCCCAAATCCTTGCCTCAGCCAGATGATGATGCATACAAAACAGCCCAATGATCGATGCTGTGCCCAAAAATCCAGACCTTCTTGCAGTTCTGACCTGGAACGTGGGAGGCAGAGATGCCCTCACTGGCCACCCTCCAGACGCAGCCACACATATGCCTTGAAGACCATAGAGCGCCACCGCCCAATGGCTCTTATGCATGCCTCAGACATCCCAAGGCCCACAGCCGTGGTCGCCGCCCCAATCCTAAATGAGTGGGGCCCGAATTCCTTGCTGGGCAAGCCCAAAGCCCCTAGCACGCTCTGAACACGCCCGTGAACTGGTACCTGGTCAACGGGCCCCCATCCCTGCAGATAAGCAAGGGGCCGCCCTTTCACGGCCGCATCGCTAGGTATGCCTTCATGGTTTGTACTGGGCATGGCCCCCCAGTCAGGGTCCCCAGATGTAAATTTGCCCTCTATTGGGAAGAGCTCAAGGAAGGTGAGATCCTTGAGAACCGCCGACCCTCCCCAGGACTTGGGCCAAGGCTGTTCACACCAGCGGCCTTCATAAAAGACCCTGAACCCTGCTGTCCCGGCCGAGTCAGAGTGTATCTGAATGGCATCCTGTAAATCCAGGGGCTGTTGCCACATGGAGACCCTGTTGTACCCCGTCAGATACTGAAGCCAGACTCCCAAATCCTCCTTCATGCCCTTAGTCACCCGCACTCGATGATGGGGTGCTCTAACTCCCGCTGTCGCCCGGCTCAGCCGAGAGCCTGAAGAAACCACCCAAGGACCCACGGTAAGTAGGAAAACCAACATACAACAAGTACCGTGCACAGATGATTATAACATATCATAAATAATTTTATATTTTTTGAAAAATATTTTTACAATAATTTCTACATATATAATAAATCATCTTAATCAAAAATATCAAAAATCATCTCCAAGAATCTCAAATGCTATTGTACAACCTTTAATAATAGTCCTCCTTTGTTAAATAAAAGTTTCAAAAGGAAAGACTCCTTAAAGTCTCTCTAACATGTGCTCAATATATTGTTAAATTCTAATTCCGATTTTTTTAAAAAAACCTTACCTTGACAGTGCAATCTTATGCAGAGCTACTCCATTAAAATCCCAGTGACTCCAATGAATTTTGACTCAATAACTTTTCCTAGGATTCCACTGTTAACATGCTCATCTTTGAGGAACCACAAAATTCATTTTTGCTTATATGGAAAAAGAGCAAATTGTAACACTCATTAAAAATGCATTTTGCTTTGGATCTACAAAGCCTTCAGTGTGATACGCTTAAGAAAGTTTGGATATGTAAAATAAATACATTGTCCTAATCCCAAGGGGTGAATAAGCAGTGCAAGTTTTCTCTCTTCAGATGCCTCTGTTTCACTAATTGCAAGCAGATAACTATCAAAAATACTCTCCATGAAGTAAAAGCAATTGGAGGCTCACCTGGACTTTGCAAAAAAGGCGGCAGTGGATTCAAAGGCAGAAAAACCACCCTACCTTCATCACCAATGTGTTATGTCTGCGCAATAATACCTCCAAATCAAATCCAACATATGCTTATTAAGGTTTCAGCCAAATAGCAGTTAAAACACATTTCTACAGCTACATTCACTCCTATTTCCTACATTTTACTTATATATACCTCTTCTCTTAAAGGAACATACACATACCTACACCATAATCTGGCCCTACCTGGCAGATGGCCAATGGTTGGGAGTGGAGATGGTGTGCTTTAACGGCAAGCTCCACTCCCACCTCCTCAGTTGCTGCCTTGTGGCTTGGCCTACCCTCCCACCCTGACCGCTGTACAGGCTTTGGCTGGTCACCCATTGGTGGGGGGCAGGTAGGATTTTTTGATTCCTGACTGATTTGCTGTGGTCAGGGATGTGTTTGTTTGTTTTTTTTGCCTACCTTGTACAGCTTATCAGTGGGATCTGGAATTGGCATAGGGTGGTGCTGTTTAGTTAGGTTGGTCACTTTAGCTGGGCTGGATGGGGGCTGGTGACTGATGTGCAGCTAGGGGAGGACCAATTAACAACCCCAATTTAGGGGTTTGGGTTGCGCAACCCGGGGTTCGGAAAGCAGACTGGCTTTGGGACTGCATGGATTAATCTTCCACCTACGTTGAAGGGCTTGGTGGCTGGATCTCCATGGCACTGCCCACTTGTTGTTGCAGATGGGTGTGAGCCACATATACTGGCTCGAGTCAGGGGCAGGGTGGCTCCCCATTGTATACCTGGGGAGGGGTCAAGAGTGACCCCTGACTTTGACTGTGCCACAAGTCACATGGGCCCTTGTTGTTAAGTTGCAGGTTGATATGTTAAATAAAGTGGCCCTTAGTTTATCCAGACCTTGGTGTCTGACTCTTTATTCCAAATAAGGGGGCAATTACATCTCAGGAACTTAAAGCTTTGTTTTTATGAGTCCATCTATTTTGTGGGATGTGCGTGTGTTTTTTTTAAAAAAATAGAGGATAGAGCAGTAAAACTTGGCTTGTGATTTCAAAGTATCTTGAACTGGTACCTGCCTGTAATCTTAAAGAAACTGGACATAATAAAGATTCTGTGAAGGCATAAGATTCTATGAAAGAAGCTGTGATGGCAGCAGGACCTAAGAAATCAGAATCTTCTGGATGAATCTATAAGCTGCCAGTTATGCAAGGGACTAGGGTTGACAACTGGCAAAGAAAAAATAGAGGCTTAATGTGGGGCAAATTGGCCATTTTTTCATGTCATGGTATTTGCTGCAGATCACATGGATTATTACAGTAAAATAGCTAGAGTGACCAGTTTAAAAGCTGGCAATCCTACAGGGGTGACATTGCAGGTACTAAAGAATATATTACAGTGAGTTTAATAGTACCTGCTTGGGTTGGATAATAAAATGATCCAGAATACATAGAGGCCATTAAAAAAAACACCCTAGGAAAAGGTGGGTCTGGTACTGGTATTACAGGAGACATATGTGGGATCCACAGATAAAGTACTTAAGTGGTAGAATATGCCCTCAATATTCCCTAATAACTTCACCATCTTGCCAGTGGAGGTCCTATATGGTCTTTACATCTTAATTTTTGATTGATATGGCTGCTAAGCATAGGCTTGTGGAATACCATGGCCTGTGAAATATATTTCTCACTGCCATTCTGGTTATGCTACAGGAAAGTAAAATGTCTGCCACCTGAATTTTGGTCATTCACAATAGCACCAAGTGGAGATTACTAGTATGGGAAATAGTCTTTAGATTTCTGTCCTGCTCTTGTGCCTGAGAATAACTCTTCTAAAACAGATATATGAGCTGTATTTTGAATGTTGCAACCCAGCAGACCAAAATTCAACAAGAAAGGCATTCCCCATACAATCCATACAATACTGTGACAGCAGCCATGAAATTAAAAGACACCTGCTCCTTGGGAGGAAAGCGATGGCGGACCTAAACAGCATGATAAAAAGTAGAGACATCACCCTGCCAACAAAAGTCCGCATGGTCAAAGCAATGGTATTCCCAGTAGTCATGTATGGCTGCGAGAGCTGGACTATAAGGAAGGCCGAGCGCCGAAGAATAGATTCTTTTGAACTATGGTGCTGGAGAAGACTCTTGAGAGTCCCTTGGACTGCAAAAAGATCAAATCAGTCAATCCTAAAAGAAATCAACCCTGACTGTTCCCTGGAAGGCCATGGGAGTGTGAATAGTGTATCACTAAGGGATGCCATTAAGCAAATCTTTCAGCATGGATGTATTCACAGTGATCCCCTAGTACTGAATACAAAATAGTTGTGGAAAAGTACACAGTGTTGGAACTCAAAGAACAAAAATATAGAGATGTTTTATGTATTTTATGCTGTTTAGAAAAAGACAGAAATATAGTCTGGGAAAGAAATACATAAAGATTGCTAGGAATTTAGTAGAACATTTTAATAAAACATGTAATACTAAACTCAGTACAGATAATAGATTAGTAACAGTACAAAGAGTAGCATGTGCAATCTGTATAACATTTTGTTATGCATGATGCAGAAGAAAACGACCTTGATTAGTGGATTTCCAGTGTGATATCAGAAGAAGCCAGAGTGGTAGGGAAATATAAAGTATTAATATAGCTCAATTTGCCTACAGGCATTGAGCAATTCATATGAGTTACAACAGCAATAAACAATTTGAATAAGCAACCAATTACTGTGCTTGAAGTCCTTTCAATTTGATTACATAAGCAAAGTTTTTTTGGCTACAACCAAAGTAACCTCTGAATCCATGCCTGTAAGAAGTTTATTTATCTGGTGTTAACAGCCCCTCATTATCACAGAAAACTGGAGTAATCCACAAAGTCCAGAAGCACAGCCACAAAATCTGAGTATGCAGTCCTTTGCATTCAATCTTCCGTTACTTGTGAAGGGATATAATTTAATCCTGGAAACATAAATGCTGTCTTGTATCAAAGAAAAGTTTAAAAATCTAGATATTGTAAGGGTGCCTTTGGGTAATACAACCCTAAAAAAATAAATGAGCGTATACCCTATGGAATTCTTCATGGTACTGATAAAATCCAAGTTGTACAGATGTTTATTCTCCACAAAGTGTGCTGCTGATTTTCACAGTATCTCCTATTATCTTCAGTGGCAAATAGAATTTTCAGCCAAAGTATACAGTACTATCCTATGTAGAGTTACTCCCATGGATTTTATGGGTTTTTTCTGGCATAACTCCTGAAAGGATTGCACTGTAATAATAACAGCTGGGAAAAGACATAAAGTCACCATAATGGTAATACCTCATCCCCCTGTTAGCAGCAAAGGGTTCTGTTCCTTCTTTTCATTGGAACAGACAAATCCATCCAAAGCCCTTCTTAAAGATTCCTTCACTTCTTTGTTTCTCAGACTGTATATGAGGGGGTTCACCATGGGGGTCAGAACTGTGTATGGGACAGAAAACACCTTTTTAAAGTCGCTGAGTGTACTAGTGTTTGGCAAGATATAGACAATCATTAGTGTTCCATAGAAAATGGTAACCACTATGAGGTGTGAGGAACAAGTGGCAAATGCTTTTTCTCTGCCAGTGGTGGATGAAATTCTAAAGATGGCAGTGATTATGAATACATAAGAGGTGATGGTCAGTATGAATGGGGGTAAGATATCAATTGACCCAAATATGAGAGCAGATAATTTAACGTGGCTTGTGTCACTACAGGAGAGTTGAAGCAATGGGCTGAAGTCACAAAAGAAGTGGTCAATTTCATTGGGGCCACAGAATGATAAGTGTGAAACCATAGATATGATAATAATTGATATTATTGCCGCACACAGCCAAGATCCTACTACCAGGTACATAATGACCCTGCCATTCATAATAGTTGCATAATGAAGTGGTTTACATATGGCAACATACCTATCGAAAGACATCACCGAGAGGAGGTAGCATTCCACAATGACAAGACAACCAAAGAAAAAAAGTTGTGTGAAACAGCCTGAGACAGAAATGGATTTGTCCCCAGTGAGAAAACCTGCCAACATCTTAGGCAGAATGGTTGAGCTATAGCAGACCTCCAAGAAGGACAAATTCCCCAGGAAATAGTACATGGGAGTGTGAAGGTGCTGATCTGATGCAACCAAGGTAATAACAAGGATATTTCCTGCCATGGTAAAAATGTAGATCACCACAAACACCAGGAAAAGAAGAATCTGGAACTCTTCAGCTTCTCCAAATCCCAACAAAATAAATTCCATGATGGCTGTGTGATTCCACTGTTCGGAGGTGGCGATCTGCATCTGGGTGGAAAGTACTATATTGAATTAACTTAGAGAACATTTTACTGTGCAATGATCTTCTGAATGCAAGCAATTGTACTTTTTAATACTCCAGGTGTACTCCAGCCTGAACTTCATAAAAGAATGATCTGATACAAGAGTGACCAAAAAAAAATAAAGGTTACAGCATGCAGTACACCTTTAAAAATAATTGAATTAACTTTTAAAAAACATTGACTCTTCTAAAAAGATCCATTTAGAATCCTTCCCAAGTGTACTTCTACTACCAGCCAAGTGTACTTAGGATTGTGTTATCATTATGAGAGTAGCAAGAGTCTTGGAGACACATCTGTAGCCAACCAGAAGCTAATCTGTCTGTATTCCTTCTACCAAGTTAGAGAAATTCTTTAGAAGCCTCTTGAGCTTAGATAAACTGTGTAGTTCATGCTTTTTCAATATTGTCCTTAGGCATGCTGCCTTAGATCAGTATTTGGTGGTTGTAGTGTGTTGTGTGAAAAATTTAAGGGTGGGGGATCCTGTGGACACCTCTGTGCAAGCTACAAAATGTTTATTTTCAGGGCAGCAAATATGACGCAAAATTTAGAATGTGCCAAAAAATAAATCTAGATTTGTCCTTCTTTATTCGTGGAGCAGATTATCGTACAGCTATAGCTTGAAACTGGATACTGCTGACTCATACTTCTGCAAAACTGCTTTAGTGCTGCTGAAGCTCAATAGTTCTGGCATGATGGTCTGTCATTAAGTATGACAGTTGCTTCAATAAGAGTATGATATGACAGATCTGTTTTCACTGCATTTCCTCCCATGTATGTAAAATTCTAAGCTGTCCATGAACTGCTGTTTCATTGTTTTTTGTTTTTTGAAGTCACATTCTCTTCCTTATACCATGGGAAATTCCCTTTAGTCTAAAAACACTGGCTGATACTACTGCTCATTTGAGGATAATGCAGCAACTAGTGTCTACCTGGAAACAGCATGAAGAACCTAATAGTGCAGTCCATGGAGTGTTACACTCCTCTAAGTCAATGAAGTCAATGGCTTTAGAAGGGTATAACTCTCCATAGGATTGCACTGCAAATATTGCAAAACTGTTGTAAAAAGGCTGTGACTGGAATAGGCTATTCGGCCAAAAAGCAGTCCTGTAGGGAGAAAAACAGAAAACAAAATAATAACCAGGCATGGATTTACCTTAAGCAAAGTGTTTTAGCCTCTTCGACCAGAGTGGCTGAAGCTGATATGTTTTTTCATTAGCCTCATTTCAACCTTGGAGACTCCAAACCTTTTCACAAGATTTTCAACATGGTGAATCTGTTCTCGTCTCAGTCTTGACAGCATGTTGCCTTTCAAATCGAAACAGCTAAGGCCTCCCCCCTGGAATGAACAATTAAAATGAACAATAATTCATTTTTATATCAATAGTTCAGCTTTTCCTCGTGACATTTTTAACATAGTGGTGTTCCTAAATGATAGCAAGCCAATCAGAACTTTAGGATATTTTTAATGGCATATCCCTTCTCTCAAAGTAAAAATAAACAAGGAGAGAAACATGCAATCTCCTGGGATTAATTAACAGAGCAATAATTTGTCAACCAAATTCTCTTGAAAGGAAAAGAAAGGAAGAGAGTTTCCAGCTTGTGAGAAGAGATGAGTGAATGTTCCCAGTTTGGCATCTCTCCCTTATAATAAAGCAGTAGTGGGGACCAACGTTCTAAAATGCCCGCCTTTAGTGTTTGGCTGGAAGAACTGCCACTCATAAGACACTGGCTGGGTTGACTGGCTGCTTTGTGCAGTCCCGCCCAGCGTTTCAAGGTCTTTTGCATATGGAAGCTGATTGGACTTCACTCCATTCCTAGACTCCACCCTCCAAACCAGCCATTTTGTCCTGGGTAACAATTGTTGCCAATCTCCAGGTGAGGGCTACAGATTACTCACAATTACAACTGCTCTTCAGGTAGCAGAGATCAGTTCCTCTGGAGAAAACAGTGGACTCTGTCATTATACCCTGCTGAGGTCACCACAGCAAATTGACACTGTTTGCCCAAAGCCAGAGCACTGCCCCAGAGCCTCTTTCTAGATCTCGTTGTATTGCTTTCACAACGGGCTTTACTGCCAGTAATTCTATAATACTTGATCTGCTTATCAGCTGGCCAGTTTCCATACAGATGATGAAAACTGCCAGTTAATATCTCACAGCCCAACCTACCTCACAAGGTAGTGAAAATAAAATGAAGAAAATAACAATATGACACTCAGCTCTGTGGAGGATGACCAGGATAAAATGTACTTGACAGAAAGATTAACTATGATGTAGCAGATGTATTCTACACAGCCTTCCTCCCCATGACTAGATAGTGCTTGCATGCAGTCAACCTTCTGACCAAGGATGCTTTTGAGATTTACAGGAACCAGGAATTTGTAGATTAACAGTGGGATCCAGCCAGCCTTTTCACTCAGTTTTGGCCAGTTCCCCTTCTTGTTACAGCCCATATCCCATGTTCCCTAGCAGTACCTTTTTTGGGTGTTTACTTAATAGTTTTCTTCACTTACAACGTATCTTTGTTCCCAGTGGGGACTCAAAGTGACTTACATTGTTTTCTTCTCTTCCATATTATCCTCAGTATGACCCTGTGAAGTAGTTTTTGCTGAGAGTGTGTGGCTGGCCCAAGTTTCCATGGCAGAGTGGAGATTCAAACCTGGTTGTCCCAAATCCTACTCCAGCACTCTAACCATGACTAGTAAAGAGAAATTCTCTTAATTCCTCTTTACCTAATTTCTACCTGGAATCCAACGATCTATTTTTCTCCCTCTTTTTAGGAATCTGGAATCTGTTCCTAATGAACTCCATTTTGATTAAAGAGAAATCCAAAGAGTAGAGTGGCAGGAAGGGAACTTCTGCAAGATTTTGTAATTTCATTCTGCAGATGCTGAGAGGCAGGAAATGTCTTCCCAAACCCTATCCTCCTGCTAGAACACCACCCTCTGGTATGTAACATAAAATAACTTCAAGGGATGAAGCTAAACAAGGTACACTGATTTCTCTTCAAAGAGAAATGAAAGGGAAATCCCTCTTTTAAGGAAAACAAAAACCAGGAGGAATGAATAATGATATTTCAAAAAGTGAATTTCAGCTCTCAAATGGTTCCCTCAGAAACTTGGTCATTTTAAAATCTTCAGTTCAGGCCTCAGAAGTGGCCTAGTATAAGTTCCCAGAGACAGAGAGAGACTTTGCTAAGCAGAGCAAGCTGACCTTGTTATTCTTAGATAAGCCTGCAGCTGTGTAAGGGAGTGTGTTTCACCTGTGGAAAAAGGGGTCAAGACCATCTGCAGTGGGTTTTGGTTCCTTTCACCCTGGTCAAGTTATCCTATAGGTCAATTGCCCATCAGTAGGGAGCTGTGTCATCAGTAAAGGTTTTCCTTGGTTCAACAGGCCTGAGACCATGATACCCCTTCCTCATAAAGAAGTTACATTTTCCATTCAGTGTGTGCCTGATGGTGACTACCACACCATGCAGTTGCTGTTATTCTTCTGTCATCCATCTTGATTGCTTGCTCAGGAGGGCCAAACAGTATGCTTGCCCTGGCTGACTCTGGAGGGAGAGCTGCTTTGATGCTGAGAGCCTTCAGCCTGAGATGAAATAACAATTGGTACCTTAGAACCATTGTATTACTGTGTTAGCTAGTGTTTTAATTCTAAGATTTCTTGTTTTCCCTCACAGTTGTGTTTTAATGTATCCGTGCTTGTGGTTTCTGCCTTCAACTGAACTCAACCCAAATTCAGTGTTTAGACCCAGTGACCGCCTACCAGCTAGCTTGATTGGTGCTTGGAAACTTGTTTTGCAGGCCCATCCTGCAGGGTTCACTCCCTTGGTTAAACCCCTGAGGGGCTAGGAGATTTGCTCTTTTGCTCCTAAGCCATGGGGCTGGTGGTAGCCTACCTGACTAGTAAAAGGTTAGCCATACCTTAGGATTTGGTAATTGTGTTGTGCTCCAATCAATGCTCCCTCTAAGCCGTGGAGTCTTGTGAGCAAAAATTCTACTTTGTGAGCTACTAACATTAAAGTTGTGAGTGAGTGATTGGGCTACTGCATAAATTAGTTTGCTCTGGAACCATCCTTCCTAAGCTAAGACAAAAATGTGTGAGTCAGAGGCTAAAAAACCTGTGAGCTAGCTCACACTAACTCAATTTAGAGGGAACACTGGCTGCAGTCGTTCTACCCAAAGGTCCTTTAGCCCAGGCTGGACTGGGGACCATTGACAGACCCCTTTTTCTTTCTTTTCTTTGACTAAGAGGAAAGCTGGTTGGATGCAACCCTTCATTTTCCTCCTTCTGCTACTTCCCCCTCCCCCAACTGATAATATTTGATGATCATGGGCTGCGGTCACACGGAGCATTAGCCATGTTACAGAGATGGAAGATAGGCAGATTTTCCAGGCAACATCTGGGAAGCGTAGAGCTCCTGTGGCTAACCCGAGGCTTCCCGCCAAAGATGTGTCGTAAAAAACTAGTACCTCCGAGGTACTACTTTCCAGAAACCGTGGGGCAAGGGCGGGCATCTGATCGCATTTCTGGTGGTAGTTTGTGGCATCTGGCGCCCGCCCATGTCCCGTTTTTTTCCCCAAGTCTCCATGGGATGCACACAAGCACCCAACGGCACATGCACACACTTCGGTTTTTTTAAAAAACCACAACCCCGTTTGCCACGGCAGCAGCACCTAGCCATTGCTGCTGTGATTGCACCGCACCACTTCTTTGCCGCGCCACAGGATTGTCGTGTGATCAGCACCTCCCCCCAAACCACGGGACGTCTGATCCGACGGCCGTGCATTAGTTTTCTCCAGGGCAAACAGCCACGCTCCCCCCCCCACATTTTCTGGCCCATGTGACCGGGGTCATGGCAGATTTTTGGGCCACCAAGAGAACTTGTTTTGCTCCTTCCCTTAAACTGCCACAATGTGAGTTGAGCACTGGAGGGGGGGCAAGAGTGGCCATTTCTATTTGC